GTTATTTCTCACAAAGCAAGTTTAATAATGTATGCAAGTTCAGATCAATGTGACGATGTAACATTGTGAAATTTAAGCGCATTTGATGCATTATCCAATCATTTACGAGTTTTTGAGGACGAACATCATTTAAATCGCCGTATAACCATACGCTACGTGATTTCATCACTCCGTTCCTGGTAAATATATATTAAGACTTCTAAAAAGGTATATTAATATTAAAAAAAAAAACAAAAAAAGCTTAAACAAGAGTTTATACTTAAAATTTTATAGAGAATTTTTTATTAGAACCTTTAAAAATGGGTTTGTTAATAAAATTTTATTTTATGTTATATACTGGTAATAATTATTAGTAGTAATAAATAGTAATTTTTAAAAAGATTATATTTTATTTTGTTTATTTATCTAAGTATTTATTTTTTAGATTTAGTTTTTATAGTAATACATATATTAAAAGTTTTTATTTTTTATTTAAATTTGTCAAACAAGCTTTCTACTTTTTAATTGTATAAATTAATATAATTATAAAAACTATTTGTTATTTTATATTACTTGTTTTTTAGTTTATATTTCTTTATATAATAGTATATTATACAAATATTTTATAACTTATTAGATTTAATAGTATAACCAAGTTGTAAATATCTTATTCTAATTAATTATTAAAAAACAGTTACTATAATACAAATAATTATTTAAGTTTTATTATTAATAAAATTTGAATTTTTGGTTTGTTAATTAAAAATTTTTTAAATCTAAATTTTTGCAATTAAAGAATTCTTTTGGGCAAAATTTGTGTCAATTATTGTTTATATATTTATTTGAACATTATTGTCTTTTAAAACCTCAGAGATTTCAGAGAATTCTTAAACTACATATTTATAAAATAACTTTTGCAAGACTATTTTAAAAGTTTTTTTAAAACTAATTGTTTTATAAGTAATAAACTATTTTTTTTAAATAAAATTATTTTTTAATATATTGCAGATTATTTTTATATTGAGTAAAATTTCTGACTATACTTAAAAAATGTATATTTAATTATTTTACTATATTATTGTAGATTATATAATTTATATATATGTATTATAATTTTTCTTCTAATTAACCAATTAGATTATAAAATAAAGTTTAATACATATATATAGTTAAAATATTTAAAAAAGAGATTTGCTATTTATAACCAGTGGTAATCATCACCAGTGTCACAAAATATACAAATCACATGATCAATACATAAGTATAGATACGTATAATAGACTATTAAGCATGGTATATATATAAACTTTATTGCCAAAATTCAAATTTCTAATCTATACTAACTGTTATAGTTGATCATAACAATATTAAATTTTTATAGACTAGTAATTCTGCCCTATCATTATATAAAAATTGAAGCTTCTAAACTTTTACTTGATATCTTTAATAAACAAATCTACTATGATTTTCCTCATTAATATTAGTAAAATAACCGTCTTGAATATGTTACGGATCAAATTGGTTTTTAGATCAAGTTAAACTTGACTCGAATCAAACTGATCAATTAAAAAACTCTGGCTGGTATCAATTTAATTCCAGCCTGCCCTAACTTTAAAATTCTGCTAGAGATCAATTTGACCCAGGTTAAGTTTAACTTGATCTCAAAACCAATTTAACCTATAACAAATATAAGTATCAGTAAATGGCTACAAATGCTACAAAATTATCAAACAACATGTGATAAGTAATAAATGGTTTGTCTGCCAAATAAGCACAAATCTTTAGCATTGAATAAAGCTAAAATAATAGACAAACCAATACATTTAAAATTAGCCAGAACGCTCCTAAAATTGGGTGATATAATATATGCTATTATAACATTATTGATGCTGTCTACTACAATAGCATATATTATATAACCTATCATTCCAGCTGATTCTATATTCAATGAATAAAAATATTTTGTTAAACTTGTACAATCAATAACAATTTATTAGCAATCAATAATAAGACATTCAGTAAAACATTCAATGATAAATACCAAATCCCTAACTTAAGACTCTAAACTTCTAAATCCAATCATTAGCACATAATTACAAACATCTAGTCTACCCTAACCTTACCACTAACAATTCTCTTTAGTACTCATATTAGATTTGTACTTTTGGCAACTACGAATATTATGGCCTTTACCTGAGCAATAACTACATGTTTTGAAAACAACATTGTCTGACTTATTAATAACTGTTGAACATTCCTCAATAGCTGATTTAAGTTGTTTAGGAGGCTATCCTTTTGGTCTATGATATTCTGGATTAGACACTTTAGTAAGATTACCCAATGATTGTCGTATTACTTGAGTAATGATAGAAGATTCTGATACATGATTGAATGTAAATTCTGTAACTTCGGTAGTAAAAAACTCTTGTAGCATAATGTTTGGTGATGATGAAGTGTCTTTTATGCCTAGCCCTGTATCATGACAATACTTCATAATAAATTACACTAAAAGTCCAGTTAGTTCTTCAGTAATACTTTCAGATACTGCAATTTGAATGCTAGTTTTAGCCACAGATATCATAGTACCAAATTGAACCTTCTTATTAATATGACTTCTAATGACTGGTGTATAAACATCACAGGTTCTTACTTGATTCATATAATGCAATGGTACAGATGTAGCACTTTGTATCTCTCGAAATACTGTAACAAAATTTGTTATATCAGATGAAAATGATTCAAACCAACAGGTATGTAAAAGTGATATGTGAAAGGTTGCATAATCTGAATGAATAAGCACACGATATTGGTGCCAACATAACATTTCTTGACTTATGATATTCATATAAGTATAAAGTAATGTTGAGTCGTTGAATATAACAACATAATTTGGCTTTGAAGCAAAACCTATATATGAAACCTCCCAAAGTTCTTTAATTGCATCGTAAAGTATATCAATTATAAGTTCAGCTAAATGAATTTAAGGTACATCATCTAATCATTCAATTATGTTATTATAATTAGCATCTAACTCTTTAACCTGATCAACTGAAATTAAGATCCCTTGATATAATAAAGCCTGCTTCATTTGAGCTCTTTGTAGAGACAATGGAACAGGCACCAAATTAATATTCAATATAGAATCAATTTTCTTGAATATGATGTTATAAGTCGACATAAGACCAATGGATGGATTAGACCCATAGTAATCCTTAATCCTGGTATACTGAGCTTCCTTCTCTAATTCTTGTTCAATAACATTAACCAATTCCTTTAGTAAGGTGCCATGATCAATATGTTTTTTAATGATGCCAATGATAGATTCAACATGTTGTGTAGATTTCATACCTGCCGTAAACACCTTCACCACTGAATATTTTGCCCATGAAGTATGACTATTATAAAGCTTTTCTAGATATGAATAACATGACTCATACTTTGTCAATATATCATAATATCTTGCTTCAAATTGCTCTTGACTATAACTATTTCGCATATTACAAAAATCTTCAACAAAATGTTTTATCGCCTCACCCCAGAGCTTGGCCCTTAACTTTTTTTTAACATTCTCAAGAAGGTGGTAAATATATAACATATGCCGTGTCTGTGGATATGAAACATGAACCACAGCAATCATTGCTGGGTCACCATCAGTGAATAACACTTTGGGCTGAAGGTTATTAGATCCTTTTAATAAATATTGTAAAATCCAATTATAATCATTCTGAGTTTTATACTTTATTAGTGCTTGAGCAATGATTCTAGTTTTAAAGTTGTTATCAACACCAATGAATAAACTAAGTGCCATTTCATACCGGTTAGTTTTTGCTGTATTATCGTGAACCACAACATTATGAAACCTCATCCATAGATCACGCTGTTAACTGGTCATCCAAAAAAGACCAGTAAGTTCATTAGATGGCCCCTCAAGCCTTGGTATAACTAGATAATCTGAGTCTTTATTAAGTTGACTTAAAAGATATGAAAGCATTGTGCTGGCATCAGATTTATTATGTATTCGTATACCACGAAACTTATGAATCGCATTATACAAGTTCTTTTTTTTTATACTATACTGGAGGAACTCCTTAACAATAAGATTGTATTGCTGACCAGCACCCAAACGACCATGTGTAGTATAATGCTCAATCTTATCTAAGATCTTCTGTGAAAGACATAAGTTTTTTGATGCTAATTCTATAGTTGCCAGATCACAATTATGATTATGCTTATTCTCAAATTTAGTAAGCCATATACTTTTTGTATGCTTTCTAAGGTAAAAACTAACTTCCCATTTACAATTTGATTTACTTGAACTCCTATCATGATGCAAATCAATATCTTCAACCTTTTTTGGTTGATGAACACCAGCTTTCCAGCAATTATAGGTACATCGATGAATAATAGATTTATCAACTGGATCAAGATCCTTATGACATTTATTAGTCACAAAACCATTTTGCTTTGCAAATGAATCAACCATGACTTGAACGGCATCCCAATTGTTAAATGAATTCCCAACTTTCAGCACCACTTCATTAATATTTATATTATGGTCATCAGTATCATTTTCCTCAGCATTTATTTCATCATAACCTGGTAAGTAGTCACTAACATTGTCATAATCAAATAGCTGTTCCATTAACTTTGTAACTAAGTGATGAGAGGACAAGATTGTTAGTTAGTATGATTTTATAAAAGAAATGAACATATAAAAAAAGTAACAATAAGCGAACAAAATATGTGAGTGTATATTTAAAGAGAAATAAAGATTAGAGTAAAGAATTTGTATAGCTTGAGTTCGACTGTAAAATGCTAAAAAAAATAGAATGTTATAATGCACGACACGTTGCTATATAAAGTAAAAGTTACAGTTTAAACTAAGAAAAGAAGTAAGTGAGAGTAAAAACTAGACTATTAGAGTTAATAGGTTTGTATAATTGAATTCGAATATAAAATAATACGATAGAATATAAAATAATACATGATATAACAACTGTAAAAAAGGTTAATCGAAGTTAATTAATAAAAAATCGTTATAAGCAAAAATCGCTATGACGCGAAATGTAGATATATCACGTTACACACGTGACACCGGTGACAATCACCAGTGGTAATCCATAGTAATTTTCTTTAAAAAAATATATATATTATCAAAAATTACTTATAATTCAAATTTACAAATGTAAGTAACTTTCAAATTCCAACAAAAAAATTTCTTGCAAGATTTTTGCTATAAAACCATTTATTGTTATTACACTAACCTTACCTAATGCTAACCTAATTATATAAAAAACTGTTTAATTTCATATTATATCTAGTAATGTGCAATGCATGAAATTTGAAAAAAATCCAAACTTACACATCCCTAATTATATCTTAAAATTTGGTAAATTGAAATTTATGTAATTGTAATTTTGAACACATGATATTAACTTCTGAAATCAACATTTCAATAATTTAGTAGTTACAATTTATATCGTACATTCAAATCAAACGATGCAATAATGGGATAGCATTAAAAAACAACTTTATTTAAAAACGACCAAAATTTAAAATTACATAATCAATTATGATTGTCTAATCTTCATATAGTCAATTTTTATTGGTTAAAAATTATATATAAGTTTCTTTTTTTTTTATATTAGGCCACGCAAAATTAATTTTTCGGTTTGCATAACATGGAATCAGAAAAATTGGGTTGATTGATCGGATTTTTTTTAATATATCATAGATTAATAAACTCATGTTTATATATAAGGCAATACAAAGTTAATTTTTCGACTTACATACCATGGAATCAGAAAATTGGGTCAGCGCTGAGGTTTACCCCGTTGGAGAATTTCGAGATATAAAGGTCTCTGTCGGGTGACATTGGATAAAATTGATAGGAAATTTAAATAGCAAAAATAGAATAATTGGCACGATTGGAACTTTAAAAAAAAAATTGAAAAAAAATCGAAAAAATGGGTCGGCAGGTTATGCAAACCGAAAAATTAACTTTGCATGGCCTTAACGGCCAAAATTTCAAGCTTTAAATTGCTATAACTATTTAAAATTCAAAAAAAACAAAAATATTTTCTAACAAAATTATACTTAAGTTTAAAGCTACAAATTAGGTAGAATAGTTTTTTGATTTTTGATTTTAGTTTTAGCAATTTTTTAGAAAAAATATATAAAAAGATGCTGATTTATGCTGTCTCGCACTGTACTTCATGTATAATGTGATGAAAACTACATGAAATTTAATTTTCTGAAACTTACGTAAAATTACTTATAATGTAAAATTATAATTTATATAACACAACCCTACATGAAAACTAATGTTATATCTTGAGATCTATCAGATCTTCGATATGAGTTTGTATTACTTTACAGACGCATCCTTTATAATTCATGGGGTCCACCTTATGAATCAAAAAAGATAAAACCTGTAAATCAAAAAGGATGAAATTGCTATTACCTTTATTTATTATATTTTGCATGATTGTATTTCAAAATGTGTCCGTAATAATATGGCACTCTACTGTAGTAAAATTTGTAGCAGACTATAATTTAAACAGAATTATATAGATGCTGAGGTAAAAGATAGATATTATAATCACGCTAAAGGTTAAATTTAAATCTTTTATCAATCATGACATTGTGACAAATAAATTTAAACCTAGCATTAGTGACAAGTTAGTTATTCGAAAATAAATAATGAATGTTCTATAATAAAATATAAACTATTACATCTAATTTTATAAAATCAATCGCTCTTTAAATTTTTAGTTAAACGCTTTATAACCTTTCCTAGTCTTCTATCGTATTTACCTGGAAGATGTTGTAGTAGAAAATTTTTTCGTAAAGTAACATCCTCGAATGATTCTCGTGTAGATTTTTCACATAATACTTCTCGTAGTATCGGATTGGAAGGATTGCGTTTTTTATATAAATAGTGTATTGTACCGGGGATATATAGTTTTTGTTCACGTGAATTGGATTTTAAATGGTTGTAAAATTCATCAATGGATGCCATTAACATAGAACGTTTATCTTTTGATGGAGTCTGAAATAACATTGATTATATAACAATTATTAGAGCAAAAATGTAAGTATAATAAAAATGATATAATACATTAATTATAGTACATTAATAATCAATAGCACTAAATCACCAGTGGTGTTCAACACACATATATGTTTTAATAGTTTGCTAGTAAATTTAGAGTTAGGGAACCTGAACTATAGTAAGAATATAGGTCTGAATTTTAGGTAGGGTGAAGTTTTTGGGAGTGCTGAACATTTTTGCTTAGTACCCCTGACATGTGTTAACTAGTATGTTTTTGAGATGGTGTTGGGCATCACTGGTGTGATTTAGTAAAGCTGTTAATAATTGATGTATTACCTTTTTATAATTATCACTCTTTAGTTCGTTAGCCACAAATTTAACCAATTCTCTAAAATCTATCAAGCTTCCATAACTTAATCTAGGAACAATATCATTCTCATTAACAAAATTATCAATGTAACTCATAATTTCATTTTTACATGCAAGATCAAGTGAACAACATGGTGGAGTTCCAAAGTTCCAAGCATGAATATCGATTCCCTTTGCAATAAGATCCTTGCATCGTTTTCGTAAAATTATTGTTACAAGACTCGATACGGAAGCACCTAATGAATGTCCTATTACTTGTATTGAATTTACTTTGAATTTTTTTACTGCAGATCGGATGTCTTTTAAAGAATTTTTAACAAGATATTTTGCACTGCGTAGCATTCCTTGATGGACAAATCCATTCCTCCATGGCACATAATATGCCAGCACATCTGTGATTACATCTGCGGCATTCTAAAAAATATATATTTTCACAGGTTAAACCATATTTTGCGAATTTAAAATTTTAGAAAAATAAAAATAACATTACCAATGTTCCTCTAATAGATATTATAATGGAATTTGATTTTGGATCTCTAATTACCATATAATTAGGTACTGTAGCCGTCATTTTCCCGAATTCCCAACAAATAACATCATTTTTGTTAATACCAAAATAATCTTGGACAGTCTTTCGATCAGACTTCATCCTAATAGCGTCTACAATACGTATTGTTGAGTATTGTAATAAATACTTATGAACTAGAATTTATAGTGATAACATACTTTTTGGCGCCATGCTATACCCATATCCAAATACATTAAACATGAAAGATCCCTGGATTAAATAAACGTCTTGTTAATAAACAAGAATTTGAATGTGATGTATGATAAATGTGAAAGTGTGCATACATATGATGCTATAGAAAATTTTAAATAATATTTGGCTTTTATTAATTTATCCAAATCTTCAGATAAAATTCCCGTAACAGGACTGTTACTAAAAAATGTGAAATATGTAAAAAAAAATTTTTTTTGATTAATGATAGATTGAGTGCAAATATTTAAATTGAAATATAAATTAAACATTACTTTTGTTTTTGATCATAATATTTTTCCAGGAGAATATAAGCTTTCATAAACTCTAATTTGGTCATCCTCCATCCATGACCATAAAACCCTTGACACATTGTCACAAATTCCTTCATTGCATTCATGTTCTTTTTACTTAACATAAAATCAAATAGACTAAGAGAATTTGCTTCGGAAAATGCTAAGAGATTAAAACGTTCATCTTTTTCATGAATTCCTTCTATTCTATTAATTCCACGAGAAACCACAGATAATGATCTTCGTTGAATGACTGATAAGCGGTAGGCCGAAGTTAGGGGTAGTTCTTTAGGGAAATGAAATTTTATAATTATTTGAGCAGTGCCAACTTCAAAAGGACGTAATGTTTCATTATTTTCGATAGGAAAAGTCCTATGAATTACCAATTTGAATTAGTTGTATACGCTTTAATAATATTAAATATATATATTTATATCTTTACCTACCCTTCAAATTCAGTCCGGTTTAGAACGGCTTGCTGTAAAGCATTTAACCGAATGATTATACGTCCAAGCCTTTTCTTTGTATTTAACAAAGATTCATAGGCATAGAAATCTAATTTTAACGTGTCGAAAATCAATGAATGATAATTAAAAGGGAAAAGAAATAGGTTTCGTATTTGATTTTCGAGAGAAGTATCCGGTTTTGTATGATGAGAGGCGTATTGAGTCACAAGACGAATTGATTTCTTGACACGGGGTTTTATTTGATCTGAATCAAATTGCAAAGATTTTATTCGGACAAGCATTTGATCTGTTTTAATAAATATCAATATTTAAGTTAATAAATAGAATGATTTTAAAAGTTCATAAATTTATATCTACCTGGAATGGACTTTTTAGATACTTTGTAAACAAACAGATAAGATGATTTTAATAGTTTGAACATACAGCAATCATTGAATCACAAAAAAAAAAAAAAAAGAAAACACTCTACATTGTAATTGATTATCATCAACTTGTTCTGCAGAAGATTCTTCTTTCAAGAATAAAATATAAATGATTAAAAAGTTTGAATGATAAAATAGATAATTTAAACTACGTAAGTTTAAATACATGATATACCTAGATATAATTCTGAGCCAACATTGCCGTCAACAGCATTATTAATACTAAGTGCTTATAAAATTTGAATTAGTATATATATGTCAAATAATGATAATTGTTAATTGCAACTTGGTTTTTTTTTGATATTTGAAACAAATACTTACAACCATTTAGTTCAACTAAAGTTTCTTTTGTTATCTGAATTGCATATCTCTTATTTCGGAAAATTGCTCTTTCTCCAGATGTGTCAATTTGATAAAAATAGCTGCTATTAATTTGTGCACTATCACTGGTTGAACAGACACTTTTGTATTCAGTTGATACCTTTGACTCAGTTTGTTCCGTTGAAATACTTTGAACCAATGACTCTGAATCAATGAGATCAGTTAAAATATTTTCATTGTATGTTTCCTCATTTAATATTTCCATGTTTACTCAATAGATTTTTGATATAATTCAACTTGGTTAGCAAAAGGCTATATCTGAATCTAAATATTTAAAATCACCAAAATATCAAGTTGCAACTAACTACTTTTTGACATGGTACATCATATTTATTGATAATTACGGATTGGAAGTTTTAACCCTACACGCACGCATACGGAAATATACGCCTGATAAAGTTAGTCAAATTTTAAGAAATTCATTTTTTTAACGTTAAGCTAATTATTAATTAGTTCGGACAATCGATTAAATTGATTATGACCATCCTACTAGGGCCTGGATTTAGTCATCCGTTTTCATATTAAATTTAACGGATATCGACGGATTTTATTATTAAATTTGTATCCAACGGATAACCGGATCCAAGCTCTAAATTTTGAAGATTCATTCATGCTATCAAACATAATTATGAATAAGACTATACAAAATTAATTCCTAATTTTCATTAAGATTTAAAACAGATCTGGCAATCTGTTCACATGATTTTTAAATTTTTAATTGTTATGAAAACCAAGAAAGTAATTTCGTGTAACCTAATAAGTTTATAAAGTTTTCAACTTTGCTATACATTTTGAGTTTTGGAAATCTAACCAAAAAAAAAAATCCCCTTGCGCATTGAAATTTAACATTATTATAAAGCTATATATAGCTATAGATGACTATAGATGGCTTTCGCGGCTATTGTTTAGTAATGAGATGTAAATACATCTTTAAAACATATACCGTATTGTCTCGAAATTACACCCGGTGTGTAGGTTAAAAATTTGACCCAAATTAAGCTTAATTAAGCCTAAACTAATCTTAATTCAGGCCAAAATTTTAACCTACACCCCTGGCGTTATTTTGACCTGTCGCCCAAAAAGTTTCGAACATCATGTGACAAATACATCGAACACTAAAAATTCATATAACTTAACAAAAATATACAAACAAAAAAAAATTATACTAACAAAGTAATAACGATAACTAGTAAATTAATCATTTTATTTATTTAAAATAACTCAAGAAACGTAATATTTATTATAGCCAGAAAGTATTATTATTACGGTTTTTCTAAGTATTTGGAATATTCAATTACCTTTTAAAATGATTATAATCCTCCAATTTACGCAATGACACAAAGTTTTTATTAACACTATCAAGCCATTTGTTACTATTTGTTTTTTCAATAATTTTTTGTTGCCGCATCCTGGATTCAAATAAATAATCAGAGTTATAATCTTACGGAAGAGCATTAAAAATAAAATCTACAAGATTTTCTGGTTCAATTGCATTTTCTTGATTAGTTTTTATAATTATATTTCAATTACCTTTCTTTTTTCGTTTATTGTTAATGGAAGTTTTGGTTACGGTTAGTGATGGGCAATACGCATGATTTTTATAATGCCGGTGAAGCAATATAATGCTGGTAGATTATCTAATTACTATGCACGGAATTATTAAAATGGTAGATTGGTGTGAAATTCTATATTTATTAACTTATCTATTGATGCCTACATTTGTTTATCATTACAATTATATGTATGAAATAAAACCTTATTTATCATGAAGCCACTATAATATGAGTCAGAATTTTTAATAGATACCGAAATATCCGAAACATCATAAAAGATTCCGAAAAATTCCCATATGAATTTCATGCGCATGAAATGTGGAAAAACTTAGAATTTGCACATCACTAGTTACGGCAATCAACATAGACTTTTAGAATAGCGTGTTTATTGGATTTTATGCTTTTAACGACCGTTTTCACTTTAAAGAATCGAAGAAAAAAAAACCACTTACTAGATCAATATTAATATTTTTAATAAATATACGACAGGGTGAAACCCGCATTGTGAATTAGTAAACCCCGCTACGCGGATCACATGAGGGTGAAGTCTGCTTTGCATAATAAAATACGTGGATTTCATTATTATCATGATCTATCATGATGAATTGAAACTTTTTTGGATGGCGATTTTACCCCGGTCGTTATTACGAGACAATATGGTACGACAGTAAATTACCAGCGATTGATTTGCATGAATTATGTATATTTGTGGAATCGGCCCGATTCAGAATCAGTAACATTCCTAAATAAGAATTTTAGCCTAAATTATACAGATACCGATACTACCAAATAAGCAATTTTTATTCATGGCATGATTCTAATTGGTCGATGTTGATGGATGGACAACTAGTCAACTAGATGTATACTCCCGCCATTTCTCATTTTAATATATCTGGCAAATATCATTTTATTAAGCGATAAATACTATACGAGAACGTATCGTTGTATATTAGATATGTGTCCTCGTTGCATATATATGGCATAGAAACTATTACGGATTTTCCACAAATATTTCGGCATTATTAAATTACCGAAAGGTTTCGACATCATATTAAAAATACTTTTGGAAATGCTGTAATGGTTTTTGCGCCATATATATGCAGTTTTTACGTCAGGATCCCGATACTCAAAGATCTGGACGTTATAAATTTGGTTCCAGTTTAACTTCCCAAATCCATTTTCTGAAATAGCCAAAGTTGTTATACTGAAAATCCATTTTATCACCGAAAATCAATTAACCGATAAGTTTATTCACTGACAGGTTTTTTAAAATTGCACTAACCTTAACTCTAATTCTAAACCTGACAATGACAGTATTACTTTGTCGATGAAATAAACTGTCAGTTATCTGTTAATTGATATAGATCTATTTCTGTCCTGTTAGTAAAATGGATTGTCGATATTACGACTTCGGTGAAATGGTATTTCAGAAAAATGAACTTCGGGAATTAACCTGTAATCAATTCTAATCCTACCCCATCAGAAAATGTTGAAACCGATTATAATTGGTTGCAATCAGCTAATCGATTATGATCGATAAATCGAATTGATAATAATCATTTATATAAACATGTATATAATCGATCGAAAGAGACAATTATATCGATTATAATCAATAAAAATCTCGATCGTATTTAGTCAATATGGTGATAATTTAACAGGAGGAACCATCGATGTTTCACGACTGATATTTCATCCGGTGTGCAACATATAAAAAAATATTTCACAATACCAAATTATTCCGCTAGTATATGTTATGATTATCTCTTAAACCGTTTCTCTTGCAAATTTGCTCTGAAATTTTTTTAAAAATAATATGTTTAAGATAAATTTTAAATATTAATTTTAGTAGTATAGTTTCTAAATAAAAAATATATTTTAAGATTTGTTTTATTAATTTTGTTAAGAAAATTTTTTAAAATTATTTAAAGATTTTTTAAATTTTTATATGTTTTTGGTTATATAAAAATTTTTTACTTCTAATGCAAGTCTAATTTTTTATGAGTAAATTCTTGTAAGTTAATAATAAAAGTTGTCATCTTTTATATAAACTTTAAGATTTTTTAAGAATTATATTTTTAATATCAATATTTAGAAAGTTTGTTAAAAAAATTGTAAATTATTTTTTAATTAATTTTTTTTATAAATTTATCTATTTTGTTATATAAGTAATTTAAATTTTGTCTTATAATATAAATATAAATACTACAAAAATATAATCTTTATTTTTAAATATTATTATGTTAAATTTTATATAAATATTTAAGTATTAAAAAAATAGATCAGAACTAATCTTATAGTTAAATTTAGAACAAATTTGTTTTGAATTTTAAATGGTTTAAGTAATAATATTATATAATTTTATTTTATAAACAAAGTTTGTTCAATTAGCTATTATTTATACAGTTTGAAGTACTTTTTAAAAAAAGAAAACTAATCATAATGAAATAAAAAAGCTATATGAAACATTTTATTAGAGTTCTAGAACTTCATTACCAAAAATAAGATCTAATTCTTATTTTTTAAAAAAATTAGTATAGTATTAATTTATTAAATTTTGATAAAATTAACTTATTATTAAGTTAATTTATTTAATAAATAAAATCTTATTTTTTAACTAGAAAGTTCTATCTCTTAAACCATTTGAAATTCAGGGCAAATTTGCCTTAAATTTTACTATAAAAATACTTCTGATCTATTTTTTTTAAAAATCAATATATTTAAGCAAAATTTTTTTGATAATATTTGAAAACAAGAATTATATTTTTATAAAATTTATATTTAAATTATAAGATAAAAAATTTAACTTACTTATAAGTCAAAAATATACAAATTTTAAAAATATTTTAACTAAAAAAATAATTTATGTTTTTTTGATAAACTCTTTAAATATTAATTTTAAATCTATAATTTTTTAATAAAAATTCTTGTTTAAATAAAAAATAATAATATTCATTATTATGACTTCTGTGATTTACTTATAAAAATTAAAACTTGTATTATAAGTAAGAAATTTTTTATAGATAGAAACATATAAAATTTGAAAAATTTAAAGAAAAATTTTATAATAAAAAATTCAAAATAAAATATTTAAACTTTTATTATCCTTAAATTTCTTAAAAAATTTAAAAAATTTTTTTAATAAAATTATTAAAATATATCTTAAAATATATTTTTTACTTAGAAAGTATATGTTTAAAATCAAATTTTCAGATTTTATTTGAAAAATAAGGTTTTTAAAAAAATTTCAGGGCAAATTTGCAGGAGAAATGGTTTAAAAGATAGTTTTAATAAAATCTTTTATATAATTTTTTTACTTTATTATAGTTAGTTTTTATTTTTTTAAAAAATACTTTAAACTATATAAATAATATAAATTTAATTTAATTTATTAGTCAATTAGATGAACTTCTTTCTATAACTTTTATTATATTAAGAATAATATAGAATTATAATTATAATATGTACTAACAGAATAATCTGATATTGTAAATAATTTTTTTATATATTGCACAATGAGTAAAAGATCAGTTATATAATATTAATAGTTTTTTCTTTTAATATTAACAATTAAAATTATCTAATTTTAATCAATTATAATTAAGTCTTAAAATTTTCTAATACTAAATTAATAATTAGAATTATTTTGTTTATAAAATAGACTTTTAGTAAATTATATTAGATTGCTTATAAATAAGTAATTATAAATAAAAAAAGAATTTATTTATTTATTTTTTATATTGTTATACTATGGAAATTATAGACTCTAAAACTCTCTATTTATAGGTAAACAAGAGTCTTTTGCATAATGTCAGACATATTAGTACTCAAAAAAGGCATTGAATTTGGGTGAGTACTAAGGGTAAGTATTTTTTTATTAGCTATGCTGTAAGACCCTTCTTTTTATATTTAGAATATATTACTTCTATACTTTTCTCTATACGCTATATACACTATATGCTCTAAATACACTAAATATACTAATTACTCCAATTATACTATATACACTAAATCAACTAATTACACTAAATCTGCTAATTACACTAAAGCTACTAATTATGCTAGGTCTTCTAATTACACTACATATGCTAATTATGCTACATTTACTATTTAATGTATATATTACTTTAATTATGCAATTGATTCTTTAAATAAATTATTAACGATCTTATTCTAAATTGTGACAATATATATTTTTTTTAAAAACAGTTTCTTTGGAACTAGAAATTTTTTATTCAGTATTATAGATGCAGAAATATAACCATGCTATAACTAACTATAATATAAATTTGATATAACTTTATGACATAACAATGTGTTTAAAAATTATAATCTACATTTGCTATAAAATCTGAATTATACTGTAATATTTGATATGTACTGCAACATTTGCCACATAATAATATTTGGCTTGTGTAATATTTGCTGCAATATTTGTATTACTCATTACAATATAAGCAAAATTAAATTATGAATGTGAAATATTGCCAAAATCAAGAACAGAAATTTGGATTAAAACTTTTTTCAAAAAATTTGTTACAGATCAAAGAAAATTATTATTCTTAAATAATAAAAAGATTTTAAGATATGAACAACTTAGTGAGTTAAGAGTTTAAGTGCAATAGTAATATCATATTTTTATATGCATCTGTCATATTGCTTTGTATGCAGTACTAAATTTTTTATTATTTATTTCTTTAATATTGATTTGAATATATATTATATTTTAATTGTATATTGTAAGTTCTTGAACAAAAATAGTTCATTTATGTATATATATTATGCAATAAATTTAAAGTTTAGAACCAATCATTCAAAACTAATTTACAACTAGAATTCTGTTACTATTATTACCATTACTTGCTAAGTGTTGTTTAAAATATGAATTAATTTATTAGACATAATAAAAATTTGAAATAATTATTTAAATACTTAATATTTAATTCATTATTTAATATATTATCAACAAAACATTCTGGATCAAAGTCTAAATTGGTTTTTTCAATAATATTGTTTGAAACAATCAAAACTTCAGATGGTGCAGTATCTCTTTTTAGAAAATTGAATCTTTAAATTTACAATATCTTTCAAAATTAAGATAGTTTAAATTAATAAATTTTGATCAATATTGTATATATCATTATCATTGGTTTCTTTCTTCTTACCTACAATAAAATTATTTATTAATATAAGATTTACTATTTCATACAATTCAGTTTCAGTTAACTTAGTTTCAAAATGAGTAAGTTCATTTCATATATTATTCATGCAATATGATCTAATTTTTGCTAATGTTTCAAGTTTGTTAATATCAAAACATATATGTTTGTCTCTAATAAACTATTTTAAGATTAAAAAATTTCTTTCACAATTGGCTTGAGACAGTGAAATACTAAAAAACCTTTGTGCAAGTTCTGAAAGATACCATGATTAATTTTTTAAAGATTTTTATTATAACATTAAAGTATCAAGATCCTGAACATAAAGTAGAACAAATAGTTTTTTTTTAGTCTTATAGTAATAAAATAATGAGATTAATTCTTCATGTTCTTTTTGAAAATGTTCTGAATCTTTCTATAAAGATAAAGCAGTTATGGCAGCTTTACAATATGCTTTATTTTTAAGTCCTATTTCTAAAAAAAAACAAATAAATAAATTAATTAAAATCTATTTTAAAAATATAAGATAAAAGAGCAGAAGGATAAAGTTGCAGAACAAATTATATTAAAGTTTATATATATACAACTTATTAATTAAAAATTAATAATTCTTATATTATGTAATTCATCTTAGTAAGATAAATCAAATAGTATAAAAAACTTTTGATTCAGTTAAAGAATTTTATGCAATTGTTCTGCTACTTTACTCTTCAAAACTTAAAATTATTTAGCTTTAATAAAAGCTATACAATAAGTTATTCATATTTTTCTTTCATTAAAAGTTTCTTAAAAAACAAAATGATATAAATATTAAAATTTGCAATTAGTAATATTTTTAATAAAGTTTACTATATATTAGCAGATTTTGATAAGTTTTAAATCTGTCAAATTGCCTTCTTTTATCTTAAAATGTTTTTTAAATATATAGAATAAAAAACTTTAATAATTTGTACTATAATAAAATAGATAAAGATAATAGCACAAAAGGTAGTTTTCAGATTGATCAGATTTGTCTACATATAATAAAAAAGTTTTCTTCACGCAATAAGTCAAATATCTTATCCATAATCATATTAAACTATTCATCTAGAATTTACATACATAGTAAATATATATATTTAATATTATTAAAAAACAGTTTTTAAATAAATAAAAAATGCAGTATACTCAATAAAATACTGAATGTACAACTAAAATAGAATTTGTTATATTGTATAATAACCTTCAATAAGTTTTATACTATGCAACTAGACCTTCAGACTTAATTTTCATATTGACTAAACTTTGCCATAACAATACTAATTTTTGAGAAAATTGATTAAAAAACTTTATTAATTTACTACAACTATTAATAAATGCTTTCACTTCTGCAAGTTTCATTAAATCCATAGCTATTAAGTTAATGACATGAGCAATGCATCAGAGATTCAGAATGTGTATATATTATCTTTGAATTTTTTCTCTCACAACTTTACAATTTGAAGCTGAATCTGTAACAATAGCTACAAATTTTTTAGATCCTATTTGATCAATAATTTTTAAAATTTCTGATACTAAAAAATTACCAGTATGTGATTGTAAAAAATAATTTTTTAATAAAATTAAGTATTTATTTCTTTTTATAGTTGTTACAATAAAGTTATATACAAATTCACTATGTTTTAATGTCCATTCATCAAGAGCTGTGTTAATTTAAACAAATCAATTAATAAATAAATAATAATATTAATATTATATACAATCATACTTCATATAATATAATATTGAAACTTATAAAAAGTGTTTATTATAAAAAATATGCTTATATAGAAGTTGACTATCAAAACAAGTTGTATTTATTTAAAGTAAGATGCTTTGCATTTTCTAATTCATTATCAATTGTATTTTAAATACAAGCATGTTTTTCATCAAGCAATTATTCAAAAAGTGTTATACATAATAGTAGTATATAAGCAGGTTGTGAGCTTTGAATAAATTTTTAATAAATAGATTCTCAACTACTTTAAATGAAATATTTGCTACAGTCTATGCTTTTAAAAAAAGCTTATCATAATTATTATTAGCTTATATAGATAAAATTAAATTTGGTTGCAGATTCCTTAAATAACTATTATTATTCTCTACTAATTTGTTATACCAGTACTTTTTAATATCTTTAAGCATATTTGGGTAATAAATCGCAAGATGAGATCTTAAAGTGTCTGGTTTTCCTCTGTTAAATTTGCTCAAAATTTTATTAAGTTAACCTATTTTAACTTTTTAAATAAATTTAAGATTTGTTGTAATAAAAATAAATGACTGTATAATATCCTAGGTTTACTTGTTTACTCTTTATAACATAATCACACACTTTATCAAAAACAGAACTACCTTTTTTGACTTTTTTCTTTGGTCTATTGTCTGATAACATAGAAATATTATCATTAATATTTGAATTAGATTCTGCAAATAAAGTTTTATTAACATGATTAGATAAATTAATTTCTTTACACAAAGACATTTTGTACTATTTTTTAATTAGTAACTTTGCTATATTAATTTAAGAAAAATTAAAAAAAATAATACTAAACATTTTTAATCAAAAAATATAGTTGCATTATAAAATACAATTATGTTAGTTACATTAAAATATAATTATGTTAGTTATATCAAATTTTCATCACTACATTAATTACATTATTAATAATAACTTTCTTAATTATAACATATAATGGCTATTACAACCTATAATATTATGACATTTTTAATATAATGATATATCAATTTGATGTATCCTTATATTTTCAAGTTCCTGCACCTATAATCAGTATTAAAATATATGGTTTTGAAAAATTTTTTATATTAAAGAGTACAACTAGTTATATATATACTTTTTAATATATATATATATATATATATATTTTTTAACTTAAGCAATTATGCTAGTACTTTATTAGAATTATTAATACTATACAGATTACAGAAAAGTTTTCTTATACTTAAGTTTAGCATTACTCAGCCACCTTATTGGTACCTAAGTATGATCTGCCACACTATTCCAAACAAGAGTAGACTGCTCATCTGACTGCTATCCTACTATAAAAACTATCAATCTGATAATGTCTTCTTGTAGAAAAGCAAAAAAAACAAAATAAAGATTTTATATATAAAAAAAAACAGAGGTATAGGGATAAATAATAAAAGATACAAAGCAAGAAATAAAAGAAGAAAGAGAGATAAACAAGAAAAAAAAAAAGTGTAAAACTTGCAAATTACAAAAAATCAAATAGTCACAATTTTAAGCCTATATTAAGTATGAAACTTGCAATTTACAAATATTAGACAATTACAATTATAAGCTTATATTGGGCTTATAAAAATTATAAATTATACTAAATAGAAATTATTTTACTATTTTTCTATTTGCTTAGATTATTAAACAAAAAACCAAAAAGAAAAAAAAAATTTTAACTTTATTATAAAGGATTAGCACAAGATACTAGTTAGTTTAAAGGCAGTGTTTAACAGGTTTTCAGCAGCTTAAGGTATATGTATAGTCATGTTTGTATTATTATATTATTTCTAATTTATATTATTAACAATTCTGTTTAGGAAGTAAATACTGCTAACTGTTTTGGTAATTTTATGTGTCAATTATTAGGACAGTGTAAACTGAATTGCTCATTTTTAAAAAATTTTTCTTAAAAAAAATAGAAGTTCTAGTTAAACTAACTTTTTTAGTTTTTGTAAGTTCTTAACTTTTGTGAATATTTTTTGTAGGCTTTATAGTTGTATAGAACTAATATATTTAATTTTGTTGTTTATTTAATAAGAAAATTTGGCTTTTACTAACTATTTCTTCTATAGTCTCAGAGTACTCTTTAAACTGTCACTACAAGGCTGCAACTTTTTTTGAACTTTATTTCAATGTTTAACAATGCATGTACAGTATTTCAGAAAGGTTTTTATAAAGTTTAATATATTAACTATATTATTTTTCTGTAATTCAGCTTTTGAAAAGTTTGGTTTAAATGATCATTAGAAAAAATTAACTTTTTAATATTTAATTTAAATAGTCTGTTTATATTATAATAGTTAAATTTGGTTATATTAGTTTTTTAAAATTAATTTTTATATAGTAAAATTTTAATAATTAATTTTAGTAATATACTTTTTAACTAAAAAATATTTTTAAAAACCTATTTTAGACCTCTAGAGTTAATAACATAGTGGTTATGCTCTGAGATCAAAAATCATAAGATTGTTAGTTTGAATACTAATAATGGCAATTGTAGAAATGTATTTTCAAAATAGAAAACTGCAACACCACAGAATCAGGGATCTAAGATGTCTGATGGATGGACTTATTTCTAGAAATAGCAAGTAATCTGCAGTTGAAAAGCCATATAGTAATGAACATAAGTTGAAGCCTAATTTGAAATAACTAAAGTTATAAGATATAGTATGAGCCAAAAGTCTGACAATAGAGATAATATATGAACTCATTATAACAGCTAGTTCTTGATAGAGCCTGGTGAAGCCTTCTAATACTGGCAAAGATTGGTGTGATAGTCACTTCTAGAAAGTTTAAAAGTATGAACCAGAAGAGGTTAAAGTTTAGTATCTAGAAGTATATTAAGAACATTAGTTTAAAAAATATAATAAACATGCTGAAAGATCCTGGCAAAACTAGTCAAGAGGGGAAAAAAACAAAAAAAAAAATCTATTTTATAAATATTATTAAATAACTTTATGAAATATTTTATTTAATAAAAATTTAAATATTATATAATATTAAGATTTATTATTAAAATATTTTATAAGTTTTCTAAAATATTATATATTTCTAAAATGAAAAAATTTTAGTTCTTAAAATAAACATTAATTTTTATATATAAATTACTAAATTTATAATAATTAAAATTATAATTTTTGATATAATCTAAAAAAATATATTAAAAACTATAAATTTAAAATTAATTAAAAAGTTTATTATAAATAAACTAAAAAATTTTTTTATTAAAATTTTTTTAAAAAATTATATATTTATGATCTATAAGTAATCTAATCTTTTTTATAATTTAAAATAGATACTGCAAAAAAATAATTCATATTTCAAATATTATTATCACTTAAATTATATTGCATACAAATTTGCTTGCATCTTTTTTTTAAAAATTAATTTTTGTAATAAAGCTTTAATAATTAATTTTAGTAATATACTTTCAAAGTAAAAAATATTTTTAAAGATCTACTTTATAAACTTTGTTAAGAAAATTTTTTAACTTTATTTTTTTTTTAATATTAATAGTAAGGTTATGCCTCTATCTTTATTAAATATTTATTTAAAATTTTTATATAAAGTATAAATTTACTATTAAAAATATTATAAAAAGAGTAGAAGCT